CCACGGCCGGTTCCGACAGGTCCGAGCAGGAGCTGAGCCCCGTGGACGGCGAGGCGTTCAGCCAGCACCTGCAGGCCGTGAAGGTCCTGGCTGTGAAGGACGTCATCTGGGTGCCCAGGTAGGTCTCCCCGCGGCGGGGGGTGCGAGCTTGGGGGTGCCCGTCTCCCGCTCTGACTTTGGGGGTGGAGTGACGGAAGCTTGGGGACACTGTGGCCATCCACAGGAGCTGCGCCCCCTGTTCTGAAATTGGGAGCAGCCTGTTTTAAAACATACTTTTATTGATTTCAGAGAAGAAGAGGGAGAGACATATCAATAATGAGAGAGAATTATAGATCAGCGGCCTCCTGCATGCCCCCCCTCCTGGGGATCGAGCCCACAATCCCGGGCATGTGCCCTGACCGGGAATCGAACCGTGACCTCCTGTTTCATAGGTCGGTGCTCAACCACTGAGCCACACCAGCCAGGCCAATCTCTTTTTATTTTTTTTAATATGTTTTTATTGATTTCTGAGAGAGAAGAGAGGGAGAGACAGAAGCATCAATGATGAGAGAGAATCATGGATTGGCTGCCTCCTGCTGGCCCCCTACTGGGGATGGAGCCTGCAACCCTGGTATGTGCCCTAGGCCAGAATTGCACCCATTACCCTTCGGTCTGAGGGCCAACGCTCTAACCACTGAGTAAACCAGTCAGGGCACTAGCTGTATTGTGGCGGGGGTTTTTTTTTAATGTTTTTTTTTATTGATTTCAGAGAGGGGAGAGAGAAACATCCATGAGGTGAGAGAGAATCATGGACCGGCTGCCTCCTGCACACCCCTCACTGGGGATGGAGCCCACGATCCCGGGCCTGTGCCCTGACTGGGAATCGAACCGTGACCTCCTAGTTCATAGGTCGGCGCTCAACCACTGAGCCACGCCGGCCGGGCTTGAGCGATCTCATTGGCAGAGCCAGCGAGAAGGGCTGTGCTAGCTGAGGGCACCGTGGTCGAGTGCGATCGGGTTTCCTGCTGGGAAAGTGCCTGCTGGCCCCGCTCCGGTGCCCCCTGTGCCACCCAGTCCATTAGCAGAAACCCCTCATTTGTTGCCCTGCGCGCCCTGCCAGCTCCGCTTCCCCTGGCGAGCCGGCCCCGGACAAAGCGCTTCCCCTCGCGGGTTCTGGTTTCGCAGGCGCGGCGGAGATGTTATCGTCATCGGCCTGGAGCGGGACGCGGGCGCCCAGCGGGGCCGGGTCATCGCCGTCTTGAAAGCCCGAGAGCTGACGTCAAGGGGGTAAGGCTGGACTGCTCTCGCTCCCCAGGCTGGGGCGGGGGTAAGGGGGGACCCAGGCTCTCTGCCCCGTCCCTGCACAGGGGCCATCCGTCTGCCCTCCTGTCCTCCCCAAATTAGCATTACTCCCACCGCCCTGGCCGGTGTGGTTCAGTGGATAGAGCATCGGCCTGCGGACTGGAGGGTCCCGAGTTCGATTCCGGTCAAGGGCACGTACCTCGGTGGCAGGCTCCATCCGAGGCCCTGGTCTGGGCGGGGCCTGTGCAGGAGGCAATCTATCAGTGCATCTCTCTCACATCAGCGTTTCTCTCTCTGTGTGTCTCCCGCTCCCTTCCATCCCACTCTCTCTAAACAATCAGTGGAAAATTAGCCTCGGGGGAGGATTCACCAGAAATAGTGCGTGTGGTTAGGACCTGGTGCGGGGTGTTGGCCTAATCCAGGGCCCTGCGTTCCCTAAACCCGTGGATAGGGAGAGCTTCGGGAAAAGAATCCTGACGAGGCAGGGCCGGTGAGCTCAGGCCCAACTCCGTCCTGGGCCCCTGGCGAGCAGGAGTGGGAGTGGGTGGTGTTTTCTGCACCCTTGGGGGTCTGAGACCCATCACGGAACACAGCTGCTCTGATGGGATCGGGGTCCTTCCCGGGAGTCGGTCCCTTACAGACAATCCCTGGGACCCTGACCTGATAACCCTTGGCTTGCCTTTTTATTTATTTATTTTTTGAGTATATTTTTATGGATTTCAGAGAGGAAGGGAGAGGGAGAGAGAGAAACATCCATGATGAGAGAGAATCACTGATCGGCTGCCTCCTGCACACCCCCTTCTGGGGATCAGGCTACACCCCCAGGGAGAAGCAGGGCACTGAAACACATAGGGGGGGGTGTGCCCGGCTGGTGTGCCCCGGTGCTTTCCTAGGCCACGCTCTGGCCTCCCGAGACAGTACAGGGCGAGGGGCCCGGCCTGACCTCGTGGGCACCCTGTGGGTGTTCTCAGACCTCGCCCCCTCCCCGCAGGGCTCTGGTGGATGCGGCCGTGGTGGCCAAGGACACCGTCGTGTGTGGCTTCGAGGACGAAAGCAGCGAGTGGTGCCTGGCCGTGTGGCGGGGCTGGGGCACCCGGGAGTTTGACGTCTTCTTCCAGGCCTACGAGGAGCTGGGCCGGCTGGAGGCCTGTGGGCGCAAGAGGAGGTAGCGCCCGCCCGCAGAAGAAGGAGTGTTGCCCGGACCTGGCTGGCCCAGGCCTGCGGGCTGCCCCCTCCACCTGCCGCTACAGCCCTCCTGGGCGGACCCAGAAGAGAAACCAAGTTCTCCCACGAACGGCTTGCTGCTAAGAAGTGCTGAGACGTCCCCGCCCCAGCCCTGGCCGGTGTGGCTCAATGGACAGAGCGTGTCGGGCCTGCAGACGGAAGGGCCCCGGGTTCGATTCCGGCCCAGGGCACGTACCTCGGTGGCAGACCCTGGTCGGGGCGCGTGCAGGAGGCAGCCCGTCGATGTGTCTCTCTCACATCGATGTCTCTCTCTGTCTCTCCCTCTCTCTTCCGCTCTCTCTAAAAATCAATGGGAAAAATATCCGCGGGTGAGGAGTCACCAAAAAAGGAAAATGAAGCCCCCACGCCAGCAATGGTTTCGGGGTTCTCTGCTTCTCCAGGGCAGTCACCTGGCTACCCCCACCCCCATGGCTGCTTTTACAGCCCAGGGGACCACGCTTTTGCTTCCAGGAGAATCGGGGGCCCCTGGTCTGGGCCCGGACACAAAAGAAGGGGGGCTGGGCCTCTCGGCATCCAGGGCTGGGGATGGAATTACACAAGCCGCTCGCTCTCCGTTGGGAGGCACTTCAGGGCAGAGCGGGAGGCGCGCTGTGACCCCTTCCCCTTCCCCTTGCCCCCCCACCCCCACCCCTGCTTCTAAATACATTTCACAAGCTCCCCAGTCGCCCAGGCCTGGGGCCCTGCTCGGGGAAGCTGCCCGCGATCATGTGTCTACAGCTCAGCACAGTCTGTGTCAGAAACTCCTAGAGGGACCCTCGGGGAGCGAAACTATGGCCCAATCTGGGGGATGAATAAATGTCTTGAAGTGGCCCCCACCGTCCCCCGTGGGAAAGCCACGCGCTGGGCTGGCCTGGCTCAGCCTTGATGGGTACCTTCCTCTTCTGCCGACAAAAGGACCCAGCGGCAGGACTTGGAGAAAGGGCCTGTGTTTACAGTTTTGTCCCATCAGCTGGGGCGCAGCTGCCGCCCCAGCCCCATGCTGTTTGCACAGAACAATCTTGTTTACCCTTTGGCCAAATTGCGGGCTTGCGCGGGGCCGTGGGGCCCCTGGTTGAGCCATTGCATCCTATGGGGTTTATGGCAAATGACGCGTTGGCTGAATCAACGTGGACCACACGCACCAGGCCCCGTGGGGGAGGAGACCTCAGATGGTCAAGGGGCGTTGATGGATGCACCCGTGGGCGCGCGTGCAGGCATCCGCGTGGTTTCCCAGGTAACCATCCGAGGCTGCTTAAACCCAGAACGGGAGCCTGGACCGATCCATCGCGCTCCCCGTTCAGGTTGTTCCTCTTTCTTCCAAAGTTTAATTATGAAAATCAAACTAGAGATTTGTGGGGTGTGCGGGCCCATGGGAACCCCTTTTATCTGAAAGTAAACAGACTCCCAAGAAAGAAGGCTGGCCCTGGCCAGTGTGGTTCAGTGGCTAGAGTGGCGGCCTGCGGACCGAAGGGTCCCGGGTTCGATTCCGGTCAGGGCACATTCCTGGGTTGCGGGCTTGATCCCCAGTAGGGGGCGTGCAGGAGGCAGCTGATCTGTGACTCGGTCTCATCATTGATGTTTCTCTCTCTTTCTCTCCCTACCTCTCTGAGATCAATAAAAATATATATTTAGAAAAAAGAAAATGTATTATCCTTTGATACACACATGTTAATATGTCTTGGGCTAGCGGCTTGCCTCTTTTCGCCAGAGCTCATGCTGCAGTATGTGCAATTGGCCAGCTGTTCATATCATGAAGAGAAACTTGGGTCCATAAGATCTTTTTTTA